TCTCAAGTAAATGAAAATTGTTAAAAATACAGAAAGCATCAGAATATGGGGTGAAGTAGTGATAGCATAACCTTGCAAGCAACTCTTTGCACAGATGCTGATGGATCCTTGCTGTCTGTAGGTGGGTGTTCAGACTCCTGACCATTTCCCTGCTGCCTGGTGTTGGTGCTGTCAGTGTGGCTCAGCTTCTTGGTGACCTCGAGTGGCACTGCCAGCAGCAGCACGTCACCCCAGCCTTCCCCTGTTCCCTTCCGCCAGTTCCTGCTGTGTGCCCCAGCTTTGTACAGCTCCCCGACTCCATTTGTTTCACATTCCCTCCTCCAGGAACTTCTCATCAAACCTTTTTTCTGTGCCACAGTTCTGCCTAGTGCTGGGGTCCCCATTTTAGGAAGGACAGGGAACTTCTAAGAGAGATTCCAGCAGGAGGCCACAGAGATGATGAGGGACCTGGAGCCATCTCCTTCATGAGACAAGGCAGAGAGACCTGGGGCTGTTCAGCCTGGAGAAGAGAAGGCTGAGAAGGGATTTTATCAATGCTTAATTATCAAACAGGCAAGTGAATGGGATCAGGCTCTTTTCAGCAATGCCCAACAGCAGGACAAAGGGCAGTGGGCACAAACTGAGACACAGGAAAGTCCATCTAAACACGAAGGAAAAACTTCTTTACTTTGCAGGTGATAGAGCACTGGAACAGACTGCACAAAGGGATTGTGGAGTCTCCTTCTCTTGGGTATTCAGGACCCTCCTGGATGGTTTCATGTGCAACCTGCAGTAGGGAATTTGCTTTAGCAGAGGGTTGGACTGGGGGATCTCAGAGGTCCCTTTCAACGCCTCTGATTCTGTGAGTTCTGGGATGAGAGGAGAGAACTTGTTAGAGGAACCATCAGAAACAAGTGGGTGCAAAGCAAATTACTACATCGTTGTTCAGCTGTGTGCTTCAGCCTTCTTTGCCAATGACTGGAATTGTACTGGTGGCTCTGGGCCGAGAAGAGTTCTGCTGACTCACTTTCCAATTGGACGCACGCTTCCATACGAGTGTTTTGCTCACAGAGCGTTTTGCACAGGGGATTTGTAAGCTGCCAGGACAGAACAAGTCACATTCTATGATTCTAAGTTTTTGGTGTTCTGTTCTGTAGGGTTTTTTTTCTCTCTTTGAAATGACTTGATTTTGCAAGATTTTGGATCAGATAACTCTAAACTTAAGTAATAATAAAAATAAATGAAATAACTGTACAGCTCTGATTTTATTGTTTGTTTAAGGAGGAGAATGGAGTGGGTTTCTTTTTGCACGTGCTGTTGTAGAGCTAGCAGTATGTTTAAAATTTTGTTCAAGTCTTTTGAGCTCCCTTATTTTGACACAAACTCCTTCCTGCTTCTCAGAGAGTGTTCTTATTCTCAGTTGGCCTCAGCAGACTCAAATTGATCTGCATTGATGTGAAGAGGTGTGGTTGGTCCTTCGGTGGCAGCAAGCCCTTAGATTAGATCAAGTCCTGTCTGGTTGCAGCCTCAGCAAAAATACTTTTCCTTTGGATGTGGAGGAACAAAAATAACTCATTACAAGTGAGTGCTATTTGTGATAGCAAAAATAAAATAATAATTGAAAAGAAAAAAAGACAACAGAAAAAGCACAGCCTCTCCCCAGCAACAAAAAGCCACCTGACCTTTAAGAGATTGCAGTGTTCCTCCAAGAAATGCAGATATCTGCCTTAGCTGAGAGCTTCTTGTGAGCCATTTCAGAGCTCCTCAAGGTCCATCATGATATTCATGATGGTGCTACAAGCTAAGAAACACTGAACCTATGAAGTCTGAGATATGTATCCCAACTTCCCGGTATTATTAGGAGCAATATTAACATTTTGAATGTGTTTATTGACTACAGGGAATCTCCTCCCAAATGCACTGTGGTTTTGAAAATCTGTATTTTTTTAGTTTGGAAATGTTACTGTGCCCTTAAGTTACTGCGGATTCTTATTGGCTTTTGCTGTCTTAACGTGTGTAGAATTATCGAACTGGAAGTGCATCGTCTGCTTCTCCTTACAGAGTGCTGAGGAGCATAAGCTGTATAAAACTCTGACATTTTTCTTCTTTCTGGTTGTTAACAGGAACAGTTTTGTGCCATTCCTCTTCCAAACCTTTCTTCTTTTGTTCAAGTTTTACCTCCTAGCGCTTCCTCTTAGGTGAATGGAGGTGAAACTCTCAACTCTCTCAGTAGTTATAATTCTAGGGAAAAAAAAAAAAAGGAATCCTAAATATTAATAATAATTTCTTAATGTTTTTGACAGCAGTGTTTGTTGTCTGTAAATGCACTGTAAGTAGTATAAAGCTGCTTTCCTGACGGTCATTTCCTGACCATAGCTGTGCACACAGCATCCAGTGAGTCCCATACGCTGAGAACTGGCTTGATGGCAGTTCTCTCATCTGATGCAGTGTCCTTTAAGAAATTTATAGCTTTTATGCACACATGTATATGAAATAAATGGATTTAATTGCTTCAGTGATTGTAAGCTGTGGTGTGAGTTTCACGGGTTTGCCCCTAGTGATGGATGCTGTTCCCTGTGATAGTCTATCATAGAATCGTGGAGTGGTTTGGTTTGGAAGGACCTCACAGCCCACCCAGTCCCAAGCCCTGCCATGGGCTGGCTGCCCCCACCACATCAAGCTGCCCAGGGCCCATCCAACCCGGCCTTGAGCACCTGTAGGGATGGGGCATCCACAGCTCTCTGCTGGAAAGTTTCTGCTCCCAGAGGAAGGGTTTTTGTGCACTGAGCTTCCAGCCGTGGCTTTCAGTTAAGGGTGTGGTGTCCCTGACACACTTGTGCCAAAAACAACAAGTAGCATGGCAAAAAGTCCATTGCAGCTTATCTGACTTCCCCGTCTGCTCTGCTTAACTGTTCAGATTCCTTTTATTTTTTGTCTACGCACACGTTGCTGAAGGTGTCACTGCAGAGCCCATCTTGCCTTCCTCTCAGACGGTTTTTGCGGAAATTCATGGATAAATTTCAATGGCTTCTGTGAAATGTTGTTGAGCACATTATTTTGTAATTCAAAAAGCATTACCTTTCTTGTCAGTAGGTAACACTGAAATCAACAATTGCTGTGATAGTTATATTAAAAGGGATTATTTTAAGACTACGTAGGGATGGGGAGATGCCAGTAATTGTGGATATCAGTAGGACTGAGCTATGAAGTGGATATTTAACCTCTGCTATAAAAGGACTGCCTAGAGATGAATGCTGAATTTCCTGTTGATTATTGCATTCCAGATCCTTCTCAAAGTCCAGATTAGAATAGGAATAACAGGAGCTCAGTGCAATGCTGTGGTCCCATTTGGGGATTGCCTTTGTGAGGTTGCTGAGAGTAGCATGGAGCCAGGAGCGCAGATGTGCTGGGTCTGTGCTGGGCCATGGTGGGGGTGGTTGGGTCTGCAGAGGACCTGCTTGGGTCTGCAAGCTGTTCTACAAAAAAGAGTCAGAGGCATTGGGATTGGTAATAGAGCTCAGAAAAGAGGCTGTAGAATGCATTAGTGGGTGGTGAGTGATTTGTTCACTGCGTTTTGGAATGGCAGGCAGACCTATTTTCTAATGTAAGAATTAGAGGGGATGAGATCTACTGATTCTAATGCCTCAAAGTAGATCATTTTCTTCACTGCACTGATTTTGTTCAACGTATTTTGCATTTCAAAATAGCTTGCTTTTTCTGTGTGCATCCACATCTGAGGTGGTTTTAGCTAATAAATATGCAAGTAAATGCCTAATCCAGTTCACAGGCAAGCACAATTCAAGACAAGAAGCTAAGGAAAATTTTAGAATAGAGTTTGTGTCAATATTTACCAGCTCTAACATGCAGAAGGAGAATCATAATTTAGATGATGATACATACAATCTCTCCTGCTGCATCAGAAAAAGAATTGCAGTAACTTGCAGATTCTGATGGTACAAATCCTTGCAAAACTGAAGGTGTGTAATGAAATGAGCAGCTGAGATCAAGTTTTTCCTGTTTGAGCCCCTGGTCTAAATTGGTATAACTGAAATGAGTCTGTTTGATCTCAGTGGGGCAGGGAGCTACCGAATTTCCTTTATCTATTCCTATACCTGCAGGAAAAGACCTGCAGGTTCACTTGGCACATTTATTGGTAAAGTTGCTAAATACCACGAGGGTATGGGAATTCAACTTGGCATATTTTACATGTAATGTACATTATTGCTGCTTGCCAAACGAGTTAATATTTGCAGTTTTGTGAAGTACAGTTTGCATTGGTGACATTTTGCTAATCATGTGTGATGTGCAAAGAAAATGATCTTTTCTGAAAAAGTTGAATTTGATACATGATTAGGAATAAGAGATCCAAGTCTTAAGGTGTTGCAGGGGCTGCTTTATCAAACTGTTAATCTTAGAAGGCTTCATGAAATCTTCCAAAAAGCATTTTTGAATGAAGATTATAATGTGCTGTGAAAACTGGGATAATGTTACACAAAGGGGTTCTTGTGAGTGAAAGAAGGCTGCATGGATGAGCAATGCCAGCTGTTTTCAGGCTTTCTGGTAGATACCTGCAGTTGTTCGTTACATGTAGAGCTGAAATGAGCCCAGGCCAGGGGGCTCATTTCATTGACTTAAATGTCTGAAATTTTAAAAAATTACAGTGGATGTAGACATCATGTGTTGTTGCAGTTCCGTGTCTGACAAGATTTGAAAGACTTGAGCTTTGGAAAACCACGGTTTGGAGTCAGCTTCAGGAGCCAGATGTGGAAGTTCACATGGTGGTTTGTGTAGCATGTATCCACATAGTACATTCAACTTGTATGTATATTAGCCTACGTTTCTAGTCACATCTTTTAACACCATTTTTCTTTAAGTTATTGCTATTCAACTGCAGAAACAGTGCTTTTGAGTTTGGGAGGCCATGCTAACTGTAGGTGGATTTGAACTTTTTCTCTGAAACAAGAAACATGTACTGAGTTCTCCATTATTTCCTTGTTTAATTTGCTCATCTTTGTCCTCAGGTTCCATAAAGCCGTACTATGAATGGTGATTCTGGTGCAGCGGTGGTGACCTCACCACCTCCAACAACAGCCCCTCATAAAGAGAGATATTTCGATCGAGTTGATGAAAATAATCCAGATTACTTGAGAGAGAGGAATATGGCACCTGACCTTCGCCAGGATTTTAACATGATGGAACAGAAGAAGAGAGTCTCCATGATTCTTCAAAGCCCAGTAAGAAAAGAAAATGCTCCATCTTTGAAGCGATGAATTTATTCTCTCTATTGTTTTCACTTTCTTCTAAAGTTAGTAGCCCAGTTTTTCTCACATTATCTGGTTGAAGTTTTATTGTCTGCTCATAAAGAAGCCTCTCAGACTTGGTTTCAGAATTCTGTATGTAATCACTCAGCATTCTTTTCATATCATCTATGTACTTATAGTAAAACATTTTTTAAAATTGTTTTGTATTTTAACATTCATTTAAGTATTGAAATCAAGTAACTCTCCTACGAGTAGCTTATGCAAACCAACTCTGTCCTGTGTTCAGTTTTTTGTCATCTGACATCGGGAATATTATCATACATCTCTTCCAGAAAAGGTGCACAATTGGACATATTGAATAATTTGAGGATTATAGATATTTTCCTCATGGAGAAAGTGCACATAACAAAGCTTATTTCATAAAGTTTATTCCTTTTATAGTAACTGATGGGAGACTTTAGATACAGAATGTGTTATGTATGACCTGTCTTCAACAAGAATAGGGTTGTGGTGGATTATCTACTGGTTTTCATGTGGGACCAACTTCTTTGCTTTATAATTTACCTAATGATAGGAATACTTCTATTTCAATTTTCAGTATTCTTTTCAAAAGCAGCATCTACTACCAATCTTGTTTTCCTTCATCCAGTGATAAAGAAACACACGCATGCACAGGTACAAAGTAAAGTATTGTTTTAAGATGCAGTGGGCATGTGTTCCTGCATGCCTTCTTGAGTCAGTTCCCTCTGAACCACACTGGTATATTCTTTTTCTTCCAACTACTTTTCTTCCAGATTTTGTTTTCTTTGGAGTAAATTGCATGTGTTACTTGGAGAGAGAATATTGAAATTTCCATTTACAAAAAAATAAGTTTCCCATATCACTGTTGCTATAGACAGCATCATTTTCAAATGAAAGTGTGCACCCAGTAGTACTATGCTGAGCTGTTTTGGAGAAGAGTTATAGCACATTTTCATTCAGGCGTTATATAGAAACTGTGTTCGAAAAGCTGAAGTTCGTATGTATGTGCTTTACAATATGCAATGTCCTGTTGGCAGGCTTTTTGTGAAGAATTGGAGTCTATGATCCAGGAACAATTTAAGAAGGGGAAGAATCCAACAGGTTTATTGGCTTTGCAGCAGATTGCGGATTTTATGACAACAAATGTGCCAAATGTCTACCCAGCAGCACCACAAGGCGGAATGGCTGCGTTAAACATGAGTGAGTGCACATGAACGTAGAATAGTTGAATTCTCTTGTCTGAAAGGCTTAAAATGAAGACAGTGTTGAATGCTGTGAGTGTCATTGTGTTCTGTGAAGTTCAGATACTACCCTGTTCTCTCATTGGAACACTGCAAACAGAAAATGGATTCGTTTCTAAATGACGGTGATACACAGTGTAATTTGTGAATGTGACTTATATCAAAAGCCATCTAAAGTAGAATGTCTTAATTGAAAGATAAGCCTGATAAGTGAACATTAGTTGAAAATATAAGTGTTTTAATGTTTATCAGCTGGATTGTCTACAGGAAGATGAAACTCAAGTCATAGTCTGGTAACAGCAAAGGTCTTTGGAAACTATTTTTTGCAATTGAAATACTATTCACAGCTTTCTTCTGTGAAGTGAGAAAAGAAACATCAGCAGAAAAAAAAAACCAACAAAAACAACCCAAAAACACACACATGAAAAGAAGAAACCACCTAAGTATGTGTGAATATGTGCACACAGGTTTTGTGTTAGGATAATAAAAATCCCTGCATGTGCTCCAAAATAAATCTGTAGTTGAGACTGTGTCATGGCAGATTGTTTTATCACAGCTCCTCTGAATCATGCTTCTCAATGTACTGTAACTAGACCTATAGTAACTGTAATGCTTTACTATAATCCTCCTCTATTTAGCTTGCATTTATTATTTCTTAATTAAATGACCTCACTAGGTGTGTAATTCTTCTTTCCAGGGATAAAAACCCATTTGTCTCAAAAAGTGGAATATTTGAGGTTACAATTCTGTGTTATCAATGAATAGTTGTATTTTATATGAGATTGATGGGGGGGATTTTACTAAAGAACTTATTGCCACCTTTACCCCAATGAACATTAAAGAAGGAAACTTGTGCTGGCTCTACCTGAGATCTTGTCAGAGATCTTAATTATATTGATATAACATACATTATGACACTATAGTAATTAAATCTTGTTTTCCATTTCTAAAGCTAATATGTTGATATTAACTAGCAAGAAAAACCATTCTAACTGTAATGGCTGTTATTGTGTTCTAGCTGACACTGAACACAACTGCCTTGTGCTTTCTTCTCTTCTCAGGCCTTGGCATGGTGACACCAGTGAATGATCTCAGGGGGTCTGATTCCATTGCTTATGAAAAAGGGGAGAAGTTATTACGATGTAAATTGGCAGCTTTCTACAGATTAGCAGATCTCTTTGGCTGGTCTCAGCTTATTTACAATCATATAACAGTGAGTATTGAATCAACAGAGAACTGAACCAATTGTTTTAGAATACAAGTGAACTGATTCCCTCCCTCATTTGTCTTTTTCTCTTTGTGTGAAAGAAGAGCAAAGTGGTATTGAAAGCAGTATAATAGTGAAGAGATTAGTCATTGCATCTCAAGAATAAGAACTGAAATGGCTTGGATGTCAGCTACTAGTCTGAATAGAGTCTTAAGAGAATGTATGTGAAAAGTCTTACAATGAAATTTAAGGTTCTTAAAAGACTGAATCTTTTAGTATCTTAAATGGTTTGAGTAATTCTATGTATTATTCTGCAAGGTGATGTCTTCATTTTCTAAGTGCTAAGCCATCTTTTCATTTGTAATACTACTCAATTTCATTGACAATTCTCTACAGACTTCTTTGTAAAAGAACCATAGTATTTCAGAACATGAGTGGACTGTTTAGCTTAATGTTGCATGCCAACAGTTTTCTTTGTGACTGAGTAATCGCTGGCATCCATAATAAGAATGACAAGGAGGTCAAATCAGGGAGCTTTTATGTGCCAGGAGGACGATCAACATGAGTGAAGTCACAGCTGTGGTGTACAACTAAAGTCAATTGTTTTCCTAGCAGAGCTGGATTGTTGTAGGGTTTTGTTCCACATAGTAGAGGTGGTCCTTGATGTATTTTCAGTTTTTAATTGCAATCTGAATGAAATATGGTAATTTAATTATTTCTGCTTTTTGAGATTTCAAGGTATATTATGAACTGATGAAGATAATAAGTGATATGAGTAGGCGCAGAATCAGGCAGTGCTTGATTCGACCATTTGGTTCTTTTACTGAGGGAACGTATCCAACATAGTGGTTCTTGTAAACAGCTTTGTGCCACCCCCTGCTTTTTCATACATGACGTGAGAATTGATTTTGTAAAAGGAATATTAATGCTGTATAAGAATAGCAGGCAAGCAGTTTTAGAGATGGCTTTCTAGTGTCGTATTTAGCTCTGGGAATATTTGAGTTTAGGTATAAAGTTAAGTGTAATGAGGAGCTGTGTGCCTAGAGGCATAACTAAGACCATGCAATTGGGAAATAATGCATCAAGTTTGTTTTCTTTTACGAAGGAGAAGGAGGGAAAGCACAGAGAGCTGAGATAATACAGTTAGATAATGTGTTAGCAGTTCAGTTGGAAGATAGGGCGTCTGGAGTATGAGATGTTGGAAATGTTTTGGATGTACTTTGCTTTTAAAGGACAGAGTCACCAGCAATCACAAGTGATAGTTAACTTTCTTATACAGATTCCTCCAGTGAATAGCAACCTGGAAGGTGACTAAGAGATATAATTTACCTTGAGAAGTTGATGTAGAACAAGATTGTTGCGTTTACAGAATAGTCTCATGTTTGTTCTGTGTGCTTATATATTAAGTGGTACTGTGGAAGTAAGGTGCTCTTTAGAATGTGGCAGATGTTATCACCTGATACAGAGCAGGATTTTGACTCCAGGTTTTCTGTTATTGTGAATGGATGCTCTAATTTCTAGGTGATTGCACTGAAGTTAAAAGCCACTAGTGTACTTCTTGGAAAATAGAATAAAAAGATGAAAACAGCTTTCTGTGAGGGATGTCACTGTATAAGATGGAGGAGAAAGGCTTTGTGAGAATATGAGAGGGCTGATTGCAATAGCTCTGCTTTTCTGGATCCTTACCAATCTGTGTGTGGAAGTGTTCAGACTGGCGCAGTCCTGACGCAGAAGCAGAATTACAGTTACCAAGAGCTTTCATGTCAAGTAAAAGGATTGGGTGCCTCCAGGGTTAGGCAGAATTTGAGACAGCAGGTTTACTGCAAGTACTTCATTCACTTGGTCTTGGTTTGCTTTGAGGGCATAAGTTGTTTATTGGATCTACTCCTGAAGTAGGATGGTTCGGGAGATGCTGCTGTTTGTTTATCTTTTCATGTTCAAGCTTTCTCATTAGCTTTTGGGGCATTTTAATAATACCTGTTTTTTGTTTTGCATAATTAAGTAAAAGATTTTCTAGATCATTTAAAATTCTGCAATGGAGAATTATTTTGGTGATTCATAAAAGTACAGGTTAACTTGAACTAGCTGGTGCAGTTCAAGGCTCGTGTGTTATGGCACGTAATCAGCTGGTTATCAAGGAAGGCAGATTTGTAAACTTTCAGGATACTGATCAACTACTTATTAAAAAATTTATTTTCCTGCAGTAGGAAGAACATATCCATTTAATTTGAAAGTAGTAGAAGACCTGAGTGAGCAAAAAGTAGGTGCATTTTGAGGCAGTGGAACATTTGTGGTTGGATGAAATTACCTGCAGAGCTTCCTTCAAACTTCAATCACTCTATGTTGGCAAGTAGTAAAGTATGGAACTTTATAAAATTGTATCTAAACAATTTGTTTTAAAAGATCTCCATGGGCTCTGAGAAACACACTTCTGGCCCGATCTCTGAAATGAGCAGTTTTGTTATCATGACTTATTTCACAGAATCACAGAATTGCCAGGGTTGGAAGGGACCTCAAGGATCATGAATCTCCAACCCCCCTGCCACACGCAGGGCCACCAACCATCCCACCTAATGCTAGACCAGGCTGCCCAGGGCCCCATCCAATCTGGCCTTGAACACCTCCAGGGACGGGGCATCCACAACCTCTCTGGGCAGCCTGTTCCAGCACCTCACTACTCTCTCTGTAAAGAACTTCCCCCTGACATCCAACCTAAATCTCCCTTCCCTCAGCTTAAAACCATTTCCCCTTGTCCTGCAGTCATCAACCCTTTCAAAGAGTTGATTCCCCTCCTGCTCCCTTTAGGTATTGAAAGGCTGCAATGAGGTCACCCCGCAGCCTTCTTTTCTCCAGGCTGAACAAGCCCAGCTCTTTCAGCCTGTCCTCATAGGGGAGGTGCTCCAGTCCCCTGATCATCTTTGTGGCCCTCCTCTGGACCCCCTCCAACAGCTCCCTGTCTTTCTTGTACTGGGTGCTCCAGACCTGGGCGCAGTATTCCAGATGGGGCCTCACAAGAGCAGAGTAGAGGGGAACAATCACCTCTCTGTCCCTGCTGGCCACCCCTCTTTTGATTTTAACTGTCCAGTGAGAAACATCTAAATTATCTGTCCAGTACTTTTCATTGTACAGTGTTGAAACCGTTGAATTCTGAGTTGTGAATGTTTTGAAGTCAGCATTATTTTTGTATTACTAACTCAGTTATCTCACATGGAACCCCAGGACCAGTAGTGAAACCCTGTTCAGCATCAAGAAATTTTAAATCTGTGGGCCAAATTCTTAAATTTTCTTACTTTTTCTTTTATACTTTCTATTTTACTGGAATGTAAATACAGTTGGAGTGTAAATTCATTCTTAAAAAAAAAAAAATGCAACACCTTTTTGCATTTATCACAATATCATTCTTTTTATCTACAGTTATCTAGTTGTGTTTTCTACAGAACACAAGGACTTAGCAGTGTTCCACCAGTCTGAACAGCTGGCATGTACCTACCATCTGATTCTATTCAGTGTGGCTTAAGGGTGTTGACCATCTGTCACAGCATACGTGAAAGTTGTATTGCATATGCTATTGTCATGCTTGTTCCATACTAAGGAATTGAAAGTAACTTTCATGTTTTTGGGCCTTCTTGTATGCTTTATTAAAATATTCCCAATAACTTAGCTTTTACTCTTATCCTTAGGCCAGAGTAAATTCTGAGCAGGAACACTTCCTCATTGTACCTTTTGGACTTCTATACAGTGAAGTTACTGCCTCCAGTCTGGTAAGCAGTGATAATTTTTCACATTTGTAAAATACATACAGCTGAATATTTTCTCTCTAAGTGTTTAAATTCTGCCCTAGAGAATATTTCTGAAATTATTTTTTTTACATGTTTAGGATTGCTTTATTGAACATGATTGGCTTTGATACTGCTGAGGTGTCTTTAAGAAAGATTTCTTTCCCCATGTTCATCATCAGATGTCCTCCAGCTGATCTAGCTGTAAACAGGAACCAGATCTTTTGAATAAACTAACCACATCATGCCCTTGAAAGGAGTTGGCTGCTGAATCGAGCTTGTTAAGGGAAACAACATATATTTTGGACATAAATGCCAGTTTCAGTGTCAAGATATTCTGTCAGATGCTTAATTCAGTTGACATCGTTTAATCATTTAAAAATTAGCTGAGACTGCAGATAAACACTGTTTTTGAGTTTTAATACTAGTAGTTGGGAAGCCTTTTGTAAGCATTTGTCTTAAGTTTACATTGCTGATGAAGGCAGCTTGAGTTAATGCAGTGGACTTCCTTATGTTGGAACAAAATGGAAGCTTTCATACTACTCTTTTGCTTCGACTCCTTTAAAATCGGTAACCTCTAGCAGAGAGATGTGGTGTTTGTGGAGCAGTAACATTTCAGACTTGTGTTGCTTGTGATGGGTAAAGGTCCTAAATACTCCCCGTTTGGCTTTCTGTGAAGTTTGGCTGTTTTTTACACAACTCCACCTTTAATAGCCTATAAAATTTTAATTAAAAAAACTGTAAGAAAAAGAAATGAGAAAGACCTACCCTTTCTTGTTAGTTCGGATCTTTTAGAAGAGATTAAGGAACGCGTGCTGGCTTTTGTGTTGTTGGGTGAGTTGTTTTTTTCTGTTTTTCTTTTCCTCTGCTTGCTTTTATCTTTATAGCAGAAATGTAAGTACTTGTTAAAATAGAATAACAGAAGAAATTTATTTTTAAAGTTTCAGAGGTAGATGCTGAGTTAAATCAGATTTCTGTCAGTTTTTGATTTATGAAACAAATTCATTTCATTTCT